GATGTGATACTCATCTTTAGGGTTAATTCTCATTCTTTGAGGTGAATTACCTTTGGCCACAAGACATGCATAATCAGAATTTAATTTTTCATAGTATCAGTTGCCACTTTGATCAGTGTTAAAATGTTAAAAAACATGAAGTTGGTGGCAACTTGAATAACGCCAAAACCGAGTTAACTCGCCAAGTTGAAAGAGTAATCCCTCAAAAAATCAAGGCAGTTTTTGTTTTTCTTTTTTTGTTTTGGTGAAACACCCTGTCCAACATTGAATTAATGAGAAACTGCAAAAACATTAATGTATAATTTTTTTCTTTTTTGACAAGGTTATATAAGAATGGAATTTGAGACATAGTGCTATAAAAATCCGGCTGCTACCTCCTTGACCCAAACCCAATTCCTAACATTTATGTATAATTAAACAAACGACTTATTTCTAAAAACAAGGCAAACATGTCAAGTTTTTTTGAGTTGAAAATGATTAAACAACATTAAAACTCCAAAAAAGATGACAAAGATATATAAAAGATGAAATTAAAAAAAAAAAAAAAATTTTGATTTATACCTGGAAGCACTCAAGAAAAGTCCGCAAATGAGAAAACAAAAAAATATAGCATATGATGCAAAAACTCACAAATCATCATCAAGAATATCAAAATTATGTATAAATTATTTGTGCATTGATTAAGTAATAAATAAATATATTTTAAAAAAAAATTATATATTGAAGTTTGTACTTACAAACTCGGCTTGACAAAGTGTTGAGTCGGAATAATTCAGTAGATTCCATGTTAACTCGGCAAAGTTTAAAACCACGATCTTACCTAAATTGCTGCTTTCATGCAACATTGGGGCTTCTTCATGCAATCGAACATTTGAAACACAATGCAGTAGAAATAAAATTGAGGGTAGTTTAGACAAACATTCAATTTGCAAATATGCAACCATATGAGGATTACGTCCTACAAATTATGTCTTTTTTAATTAAACTATGAATTTTTACCAAAACTGCATAAAAATGCGAAACTTTGCATATCTTCAAGTACGAGTCTCTTAAAATGCTATCACAATAGCCACAAAACATAGCAAACCACGACATGCTCTTCACAAGAAATAAATGTGCTAAACAAGGCTTAGACTCGAGACTCTGTCGAGTCCTTAGTCTGATTTAGGCTTTGTAAAGCATGGGAATGAGTTACAAAAGTTTGAAGTCAAATCCCAGTTGCGCTATCAATTTATTTCTTCATATGGATAAATCAGGGATTGAGAAGAGTATTTGTTATTTCCACTGGTGGCATCTCAGAGCTAAAGACTGTCTCCTGGGCCCTCCTTGCCTGATCAATGCAATTTGACAAAAATCAAAATTATACACATATGGCATAAGAACAAACAAACAATCTCTTGTTAAGTGAATTAGGGAATGAGCTATAAAATATATGTTAACAGATTTAAGGGCAAATTTATGTCTTTTTTTTTGGGTAAATGGCAAATTTGTCTTGAAATAATTTGAGTAAAAAATGTAGTGTAAAATTAAATTTAAATTTAATATTACATCATTAACCTCCTAGAATCCACAAAATTAAGATTAGAGACCTTTTTTCAAGCTAAATATTTTTTGAGCTTTTTAAAAGAGAGGGTACTATTATTGTTTGCAAAACCCTTCCACACAACTTGTTCTCTTTCTTTTATCTATCATGGCATCTTCAAATGTGGTTTCTCTCATATCTACTAAATTAGATCCTCAAACTATCTCCTATAGAAAAAACAATTTCTCAGAGCTATGAGCAACTAAAATATGGGTTTAAGCCTTATATCTCGATTATAACCAATATAATTGTTATTGACAAAGGACACTAATACAATTGTGATTGTGTAATGAAACTTAAAATTAGTACAATAATAATTAGAAACATAATTAAATCATGTGCATATTATATTCATATAAACATAATATGTACTTATATGTTAGGAATAACAAAATCATAATCATTGTCATTTTGCGGTAGTATCATTATTATTATAAATACTGTTTATTTTGTTATATTATTATAACAATAACACTTAAATTATTATAATGAATGATATGAAATTTTTATGGCAATCATATTTACACACTAAAGTTGTCAAACATGAGTTATAATTATTCAAATGACATTGTTAGTTTATTAAGTATCTTACATATCATTAAGTAATTATGTTAATGTGTTAATGAGATAAACGAATGCAATGATAAAAACGATTCGATGATGATTTATTTTCTTTGTGCTGGATTTGAAGTTAATCATGTTGTTCACTCCCTTTCTTTCTTTAAATATATGACGTGTGTATGCAACTAAATTTTAAGTTTTTGATGATATTCAAAATATTTTCTATGCATTTGATTGTATGATTGCTGCGATCAAGTTTTTTATGTCAACTTAGGGTTTCACTAGAGAATGGGGCCATAATAAGAAAGTTCCTTATGCTTCCCCATAGGGATGCTGTTGTTGAATAATATGCTCACGCGGGAGCCTAGAATACACACTCTTCACTATGAACAAATTCAGGATAAGAAAAAGTTTATAAAGAAAGTATACTTACTTCTTCTTCCCAATTAGTGCATAGGGTAATAATAGACAACAAAACCAACTGAACAACAAGCCCACAAATGATTCCTATCCAGAACCCCTGTCAAGTGGAATTTACAACACCACAATTTATATGTCTTCTAAATTAAAAAAGAAAATATATATATATATATATAAAAGATTATTGAGCTTGAAGTTGAAGAAAGTAGGTAATGAAAGCCTCACCTTCCCTCGTTCATGGAAGACAAATACCAATAGAATAGCCAATGCGTAGAACAATTTAAGGAAAAAAAAAAGGAAAAAAAGTAAAAACTCATTAATCATTTAACCTAGTTATCTTGTTATGTAAATTGGAAAAGGGCTGGGGTCGTGGTAGTAGCACCCCCATACCGCCTCGTTGTGGTTTCCATTCCTACTAATGCCACTCTACTAACTCCTCAACTATTTACAAAAAAAGGTAGGGACCGTCTTCCCCACTGAATTACCCAAAAAAAAAATTGACTTAGAGAAAATTTAGGCAAAACTAAAACTCAATGATCTCTTATCCAAATCTAAAAGGATAATTTTGTTGTAAATAAAAAATACATAATCCAAGGGTTCGAACCAAATGGAGACTCCATCAACTAGTGAGAGAAATACCATGTAATATGCTTTTGTAAAACTATTTATATCCATTGATAGTTGACTATCCAAATGTACTAACAGCAAAAATGACTTAATTTCAGTCAAATTCAGTAACAACCAAAATTAGTGTGATTTGAGAAATTCTCAAAAGGAAAAAAACCACAGTTGAATCAAAGAAATCAAGACTGATGCTCATGTTCTTACCTGAAAGAACGCATTGAATTCCGTCCATGAAAATTGATGTTGCAAGAAGAGGTATTATTTTTGGAAGATGCTTAATGATTGGTTGATCATTGGTATACAAATAGCCCAAAAATCCACGAACTGCTATCACCATTGAACTTATAACAACACTATTACTGAAAGCCATGCACATGGCAATATGAGCTGACACTCGTGCTGCTTGTGGTTGTCTTGCTCCTAATTTATTTGAAATTATCGTGCTGAGAGAGAGAGAGAGAGGAGAGAGAGAGATATAGTTTAAACTAGTAAGGAACATTAAGGTTGAGCATAGTTTAGTAGGCGGGAAGCGACCATATTAGTGCTGAGAATTTTTCAGATCGGATTCGGATCCACCCAGATCCAGATCCGGATCCAACAAATATACATGGAATATGAATCCGATCTGATCCAGAATGTTCAGATCTAGATCCGAATCTGGATCCAAAAACTATTCATATGATCCGGATTCGAAAACTATAAATGGGATTATATATTATATATAAAAATTAATAAATAAATAAATAAATATAATATATATATATATATATATATATAAAGGGTGTAGTTTTTATAAGGTTGCAACCTTAAACAATCCAATTAAGGTGCACCTCCGAATTTCATCATAACATGTAATTTTGGTGTAAAAAATTATTAGGAATATCTTGAAATCTATTTTCATCTCTAATTATAAAATTTGAAACTCAAAAAAATGGTTAAAATCAAATAGATCTATAAACATATGAAAATCTTGAAAGTGAACGGTTTAGATAATGTGTTGCAATATGCACTATTTCTGGGACTAAAAATCTTTTTTTTTTTTGCATATTCATGCATCTCGATGTCGAGATGATCGATTAGAGGGTTTTTCAATATTAAAACAACCTTTTCCAATGGATTTTTGAAGTGCATCTGTAATTCTACATTTTAAAGTTGCAACCTTATATAAACTTTTTCCATATATAAATATATACTATTTTAAAAAATTGGGTCGGACCCGGATCGGATCCACCTGTCTCAAATCAGATCCGAATTACCATGCGAATCTAAATTTTGGATCCAAATCCGAATTTCTAATCCAAATCTAGGATCCATGCCCGGAACCGAATAGGATCCAAATTTTAGTTTTGGATCCGGATCGAGTAAATTCTCAGCCCTACAACATATATCCCACACCTCACCTTATGGCACCACTGAGACCAGAAGGGATCATGGAAGCAAAACAGCTAATATCAAGACCGCAAGTAAATAAAAACCACCTCTTAGTTAGGAATGAAAAGAAGTTAGAAATTATGGAAAATAAAAGTTATGACTATGCTCATTACAATTTCTACATGGCTTTGTCTTTCTATACTAACAAGACACAAGTACATCTACAACACCTAAAATTTGTTGTGGATATGGTTAGTACATTTTCTATATGAATGCTTTCATTGTTTATTTTTTTTCATTGTTTATTTTTTTTTACTTTTTTTGAAAGAGGACATCCCATGAACCAAGGAGTAACAAGAAATTCATAAATCATGCAATTAGTTATTTCTAGAGATTTTAAAATATACAAATGATAAATAATAAAGAGAGAAGGATTCAACATTCACCTTACTGACAGTATTGATGTTTCCAACTTTGGATTAGGAAGAAGACCAGATAAGATAACAATCATATCGAATGACCAGGTCTCCAAGCTGTTTAAAATTGAAGTTAATAAATAAAACACAAACAATTCACATGTAACACTAGTTTTCTTGAGATTAAAATATGTCCTAACTTAACATTAATTTTAGGACCTCTAAAGATATATCTGCCTACAATGTGGATCATTTGTATTTACTTTCCTCAAAGATTTGCCCAAATCTTTTATGCAGGAAAGGGGAGTAAAAAACAGTTAGAAGAACAGGCATACCAAACCATTACTGTAGAAGGGAACCCTAGTCTCAAGAAATGTCCAAGATCCTTCAGAGCTTCCGTTGAAAGCCCAGTCCAGGTCTCCTTGCAAGCAGTGGAAAGCATGATATAGAGAGCTAAAAGAACTACATTGATCCAATAAGAAATAGAAGTGGCTAATGCTGCACCTTTACTACCCAAACCAGACTTAAAAACAAGAGACCAACATAAAATTAGGTGTAATAGAGTTGTAATTCCAGAGCTTGCCATTAATGGAATAACAATGCTTTGGGCTTGCATGAATCGAGTCAACGACTGAAGAAGAGCAAACGCAAAGAGGCCTGGTATCATCCATCTAGCATAAACCCCTGCTTCTTTCGATATCTCTATGTCTTGGCCCATGGCAGTGAGGATATTGTATGTGAAAGTCAAAACAAAAGCAAGGGGAATGCTCAATAGTAGAAGCACAATTATGGATCTCTGCATATGTACACTGAGCATATGATACTGCTTCGCTCCATAAGCTTGCCCACATAGTGTGTCGAGTGCACTTCCCGTCCCAATCTGATATCAATCATATAAAACCCAAATCAACGGTTTTTCTTTTAGCCACAAGCACACAATAGAAGGAATGTTCTTTCATCACCACGTAAATATTAAATTTTGAAGAACAGTATCATTGTCAATCTCCTTATTATCGATTCTATCAGCGTAAGGCCTAGGCATTATGTCAAAAAATAAAGTCACATCTCAACACCTAATAAAGATGATGTTTTGGAGCGAAAAACTTCTATAATAGTCTAAAAATCAATTTCTGCCATTGATTATGAAATTTGAAGCGTTGTAGATTTGGAGTATCTGTAAGCACATGAAAATGGATGGTCTAGATTATGTGTTAAAAGGTATAATACTTTTAGAGCTTGAAATCCATTATTCAAATCCATAATGGTCGATGTCAAGATGATCAATCTGAGGGATTTCCAATATTGGAACTACATTTTTCAATGGATTTTAAAGGTAGTACATCTTTACTTTTTATCATAAATTCAGTTTATTATTGACAGATAATTTTGTTGTGATATTGTTAGTTGACAATTTTTCACCGACTTCAATTTTTATATTGTTGCTTTGTTTTATTGCATAAACATAGTACTTTAGGTTATAGTTTATCTACAAGAAAAGTTTAAAAGGCATTATTAGGGCAATCTATTACATAAACGTTGTAGTTAGGATAGCATATGTAGCTTTCTCTTGGATCTTTGTTCCATCGCCCACTCTTTCTACTTATGAGTCCTTCATTATTATTTTTATTTAATTTTTTATTTTCTAATTATGTATGCGGAATATTGTATTATATTCTTTTTAGTATTATATAGACATTGTTATGAGTATCCATGTTTAACATGTACTACAAGGTCAACCTAAAAATCTAGTATGGCATGACATGCCTGTGCAACTATATTCTTAAGAAAATTTATTTTATATAGTCTAAAAAAAAAGGTGAAATTCCACCCCCATGTCACATGTATGCTGCTTACTCTAACTCTTGAGTGCTTGTGCGAACTTGTCCAAGGCCATTTTTAAGTGAAATTTATATATGAACCAGAAAAAAGATACGGTATTACTGTATGGATCATATTGTTGTGATGAGGTCCTGTAACTTTTAACTTTTTATTTCAATTCTACCTCGAGTTCGAAAGTACTACTTTCTACCATACTATTTTTCAATAGTTTTATTTTGTTATTGTATAATGCATTATGAACTTATAAACATAAATAGACTTTCAAATTCATGGAGAACATCCTTTTTTCACATGATTTTCTTCATTGAGAAATGACCAAACTATGGGAAAATGTTCGATTTTGTCATGATTACTTTAAGGTGATTAAAAGAGAATCGCATGCTACAAATATTGCTTTTAATTGCAGGAGAATATTGACATTTCTCATGATTTTCATAAGATGGTAAAGAAGAAATCTAAAGAATTGTTGTGCATAGGTTGTCTTGATTTTCATGTGTAACATAATATCTATCCTATGTTGATCTTGGGCCTTGTTCTCTCGCTTAAAAAATTAAAAGATCTATAGGGGAAGTTTGGATATTTAAATATGTTTCTTTAGGGTTAAGTTACAGCTGGGAAATATATCAGTTCTTAATGTGTTTTTGTTTTAGAGTTTCTCAAGAGAGGGCCATTTAGTTATGTTAGGGAACTACTGTAATGAAACCAATGACTATCTTTTATCATGGGCATAGTCACATTAGAGATGAACCACGTGAATCTTGATGTTCTTCTTTGCTTTTCTTTTTGATTTATTTACTTTGTGTTTTCTTGTTATTTATGCTTCATTTTTTCTCAATTTTCACATTTTTCATTGATCCTTCTGGTTAGGATATTTTCACAACAGGGTTAGGAATATTTTAAATGGATGTTAAGGTTTCAAACAAACGGTTAGGAGTAGAGAAGTTTGATGGTAGAAATGTTTTGGGATTTGGGAGGTAATTGTCCCTAACTTGTTGGTTCAACAAGGATTGCACAAAGCAAGTAAAGAGAAGTTGAAGGAGTCAAAGTCTACACCAAATGGGCGTTAGGAAGTCCTAAACCTGAGGGATATTATCACGATTCGATTGTGCCATTAGAATGAGGGATGTAAATTGTCATCAGCAAGACTTATAGCAATATTTGTAATTACTTGAAAGTCCTTTTATCCGGACATATATACAAAGTAAATTGTAGTTGAAGAGATAGTAGTTTAACTTAATTGATGAAAGAAGTCATGAGTATTTTACTACATTTGAATCAGTTCAATAAGATTATTCATCAATATCAAGCACTGGTGTTATGATGGAATACAAGGGTAAGGTTTTAATCATGCCATACTCACTCCATCAGTCGTATGAACAGCTTTTCAAGACGTGGCTCTTTGAAAACAATACCATAGATGTGGATGGCGTGACTACAACTCTTTTATCAAATGATTGAAGAAGAAATAGAGTAATGCGTGGCTATATGTATAGAATTTGAAGGATAGAGAGATGATAGTGAAGAGAAAAGAAAGGGTGTATGCGAACCAAATGTGATCGAAATCAGAATCAAGGTTGGATAAGTGCAATTTCAATGTGTCTCCCATTAAAAAAAAAAAGGCATGTAAAGAGAAACTATTCAAAGCTCAAAGAGAAGGAGAATGGAGCCTTAGATGCAGCAAGTGTATTTGATAGATGTGAAGGGCTGACTACAACTCTTTTATCAAATGTTTTGAAGAAGAAATAGAGTAATGCGTGGTTATATGTATAGAATTTGAAGGATAGAGAGATGATAGTGTAGAGAAAAGAAGGGCGTATGGGAACCAAATGTGATTGAAAACAGAATCAAGGTCGGATAAGTGCAATTTCAATGTGTTTCCCATTAAAAAAAAAAAGGCATGTAAAGAGAAACTATTCAAAGCTCAAAGAGAAGGAGAATGGAGCCTTAGATGCAGCAAGTGTATTTGATAAAGGTCCAGATAGTGGAAAAAAGATTATTTTATCAGTCTCAAGCAAGTGGTCTCAAGCAAGTGGTGATTACTTGACAGACTCATGGATTCTTGATTCGGATGTTCTAATAGTATGTACCCTCAACGGAATAGGTCACAACTTATATGAGCATTGATGGTGGTTGATTTTTGATGGACAAACTATATTCGTAACACCAATGTTATAGGGAATTTTAGTATCAAGATGTATGATGGGGTTGTCGAAATGATGGTTAATGTAAGGTGTCTACTAGATCTGAGAAAGAAACTTATCTCTTCGGTTGCTTTAGACTCCCAACATTTCAAATATGCTGGAGAAGGTGGAGTCCTACAAGTTTTAAAATAGTGTGCTAGTTGTATAAAGAAGATTGGATTAGACATGTATGTACTACTTAGGAGCACATTTTTAGACAGCAGTTATTCCATAGTTGATAATCATGATTCCCTCATTCCCACCTAGGACATGACTGAAAGACGACTGCTGGAAGTAAGAAAGTTCCAGTTGCTCTAAGGTGTGAAGAAGTGCATGTTGAACTTCTATAAACATTACATTTATGGGAATCATTGTGAACTAAAGTTTTGTAGAATTTTAAATAGTGCACAAGACATTCTTAAGTCTATCAATTTAGATGATTAGGACCATGCATTAGTTTCTTTAAAAGGAGGATCTTTGTAGTTTATCTCCTTCAGATTATCAATGCAGACTGACTTCATGCGACAAGTTTCAGGTTTGATGTTCAGGGTTGTAGAAATTTGCCCCAATTACTAGAGAAAATCACCATCAAAATTTGGGATCTATTTTAATAGGAGTTTTAAATATATTAGAATTAGGATTAGGGGGTCCAATAAGGTCTCTAAGTAAGGTTGATATAGGCTTTTTTATGTAATGTTAGTTATTGTAATTTCATAGCACTGTCATTAGGAATTCTTTTGAATTCAGCCAATACATAATTTCTCTAATTTTTTTTGCTTTTCTAATTTGCATCAATGGTTATTGAAGTAGGTGTGTATCTAAATGTTGAAGAAGAGAGAGAGATATGTTTAACACATTCAAGCAAAATGAAAGAAGTTGGAGTATTTGAGGACTAATAACAACGCAAAATAGTTTTCAAGGAGATTTGTGATATTTTATAAAAGGAAGGAATCATTCATCACTGCACCATTCTTAGGATGCCAAAATAGTATGGAGTTGCAAACCGTATAAATAGGACACTTCACAGGAAGGTCTACAGTAAGTTTAGCAATGAAAGTTTGTCAAAAGATTTGAGCGGAAGTAGTTAATGCAGCTTGCTACCTCATCAGCATGCCATCCTCAATGATGATATGGTGTAAGATATAAAAGTAGCCAAAGACTGGTGAAACTATTGATTATTCCCCTTTAGGTATTCTTCTTGTCATGCATGTATTCGTGTTAAGGAAACTAAATTTAACGTTAGATAAAAGTGATATATTTTCATTGGTTATGTAAAAGCATTTAAACCTATATAGATTGTGGTACTTTCACCTGATGTTTCCCATACTTGTCACAAGCAATGGTGTTAAGTTTAATGAGTTTTTCATGACAAAAAAAAAAAAAATCAAAATAAATAGTGGAAAATGTGATTATTGTAAGAGTACACTATTCAATTGGAGTTTAGCACTCCAGAAGATTCTTCAAAAAGTGGAGGAGGATGTTGAGTCTGAATAGGACGGGGGACCCTAAATCCGCAAGAACAAGAGCCTCAGCTTGAAAGGAAAAATCCTATAAAGGATCCAATCGTAAGGTATGTGTCATGGACAAGGTGGCTTATCGCTGACTATTACAATTTAATAAGTATATAGCTTTAATGAAAACATGAATGGTGCTAACAGCAGTAGGTAGAAATATGTCATGACTAAGGAGATGAGTCTCTTAACAAGAATTGTATTTCGGACCTTACCCTGAGGGCAAAGGATCCTTTGGATATAAATAGATTTATAGGAAGAAGGAAGGGGCATTTCAAGACGATGTTGACAGGTTCAAGGTATAGTTGGTGGCTAAGAGCTATGCATTGAAGAAAGGGTTTAACAACAATGAAATCTACTATTCGGTTGCGAAGTAATATTTATTCAAATGCTATCTATGGTTGCAATGCTCGACTCGGAATTGAAAATGTTTGATGTCAATATAGCTTTTCTGCATGGAAAAATTGAGGAACATATTCATAAGAATCAACCTGAGAGGTTTGTGGTCAAAGGTGAAGAAGAACATATCTGCAATATAAGCAAATTGTTATACGGCCTAGAACAATATCCTAGACAATGGCCCATAAGATTTGACATGTTCATAATAAGACATTGGTGTATTAGAATTAAGTATGATGGTTGTTTTCATTGATAGAGATTTACTAATGGTTCTTTCATCTATTTGTTTCTTCAAATGCATTATATATTTATTTGTCCTAAGAACCATTATATGCTATAGTTTTATGCTATATATATATTTGTCCTAAGAACCAATCATATGATGTCCTAAAAATCATCTTAGTTTTATGCTATAGTTTCCACTAGGCCACGTATTTTACATGATGCCAATGTTGTTCGTAATTATATGGCTAACCTAAGGAAGGAACATTTGCATGCAGTAAAATGGGCTTAGGAAAACCAGATTGGTCTTCATATTATTTCGGTGTTTGATCATAGTGGCTAAATTAGTGGCAAGGTTGTTGGATTTAGAGATGATGACTTCGCATGGTTCAAACAACAAAAGGTCCACTACTGGATGTTTTTACAGTTGCAATTGTTCTATTAGTTAGATATCAATGTTATAACCCCCAACTACTTTATCTAAAATGAAGCAAAATACATCACCGATACAGAAGTTGTGAAGAAGCCATTTCGCTTATACGACATATAATATAGGGTTACAGTAAGATAGGGTTGTCACTTATTATTAAGATCAACATGCAATAAATTGTGGCAGTGATATATCTTTATCCATGAGATAAATGATATATCTTTATTACAGTTGCAGGTGTTCTATTAGTTAGATATCAATGTGGTAACCCTCAACTACTTTATCTAAAATGAAGCAAAATACGTCACCCATACAGAAGTTGTGAAAAAAGCCATTTCTCTTATAAGACATATAATATAGGGTTACAGTAAGATAGGGTTGTCACTTATTATTAAGATCAAAGTGCAATAAATTATGGCAGTGATATATCTTTATCCATGAGATAAATGATATATCTTTATACATGAGATAAATAATATATCTTTATTAAAGATTGACACCAAAAGAATGCAAAAGAAATTTTAACAAGGCTAAGTCCTCTACAAATCTTCATGATTTGCTTGAACTTATGTAATATTTAATGTATTGTGAGATTTATTAGTGCACCCTATCGGGTCCGTTATGAAGAAAATGGTTAATGATTATCTCCTTTTAATGGCTTAATAAAATTGAAATCAAGGTGGATATTTGATGCATGTAGCTGTGTCTTGAACTCTATAGGTTATCCAATATCTATCTTATGTAGGTCCTAGGCCACCCTACACCATTGCCCTTAATTTGCAAGGTTTAGGGGACTTGTAGGGGTATTTTGGGTATATGAACATGTTTATTTGGGGTTAAGTTAGGGTTGATGTAGTTATTTATGAGTTTGTGGCTTAAAAGGAGATTTCTTACAACAGAGTCGTATTTTACCTTTTAGCACCTCTTATTGTAAAACCGCCTTCCCTCATGAAGTAGTCACATCATTGATGAACTATGTAAATATTGAATTTATTTATTTATTTTTCTATCAATTTGTTGTGTTTTGTAGTTGTTGTTTATGTTGATTCTTTAATTTTTGAAATTGTCATCGATCCTCCTAGTTACAATTTTTTCACAAATGTCATGGAGAATATGTCTTTTTTTTTTTTAAGTAGATAACTAACATGTAGAATTTTTACCTTTGTAATGAGCTTCTTAAGGAAGAAGGGAAAATCCAGTGAAATATTGCTTTTGAAATGGATATGGCTGCACTTGAAGGTGACCTTTGTAAGGGGCAAACATGGTTTGCATCAACTTCTCAAAAAAGAGGAATATTACAGTAAGTGGGAACCTTGGTGAATGCTTACTTTGCGATGATGCTGACTTTGTCTATATTACTTTGGAGTAGGGAGACCAAGGATCTTTCCCCTCTTAAGGCATAAAAGATGGAAGCAATCTTTTAGACAAAAAGTGATCATATGTCCCTCTCTAAATTATAAGTTTTTTGTGGTTGTTTATTCTTATTTCCATAGTCCTCAAAATTTTAGATCAATTTGGTTCATTTTAAAAACTAATCCAATAAAAAATTGATTTCATGTCCTAAATATGATCCAAATGAATGCATGTCCACTCTCACATCTAGGTTATAGAGCATTAATTTTTATTTTATTTTTTAAATTATTCATCTAGTGAAACATAGATGTTTGGCAAACTCACAGATCATAGGAATATTATAGGTAGGTGTTTTGATGCTACCCAATCTTTTGATCTTTTAGGCATTACCTATATTCATTTCAGGTTTGCTAGGGTGCTTATCCTTCCTAATGAATATTAGGCTTGGTTAATCAAGTAAAACTATTCGTGACATGTGATTGGTGAAAGTTGGTGATCATCCCATAAAAGTAATGAGCATGTACTATGAACCCTTCAATTTTTCATATTTTATTTATCATTTTTTGATTTTATGGTATTATTATTTAATTAAGAATGAAGAACATTTCTGCAAGTAGTTTTTAGTTACAAATTATTTTTCCAGAATTATCCACAAAAACCACATGGTCTTTGCTCGACATTTTCATATAGAGCTTTAAGTTATTTATTTATTTGTTTATTTACAAGATGCAGTACTACCATATTGGTATGGTTCAAGGACATATTATGTTGAGGTCCTACTTTCTTTTGAGTTATTTTTCATTATCATTTAGCACCTATTCAAAAGTCTATCTTCCAAACCACTCAGTCCCCAAACACATCAGTCTTTCCGTGTTTTAGGTGGTTGGAAGGTTAAACTTTGAATTATCAAAATACCTATTTCGGGACATTCTAAAGTAGGACTTACAAACCACCTATATAGATAACTTCTTTATGCTTTGTGTAGATCCAAAGTTAGACTTTAAAATTCAGGGTAAAATTAAAGATAAGAAAATTATTATAAACAGTAGGACCTCAACTGGCCCAAAACTTGGACTATGCAACAGTTTAGCTCTCTCAATTCTTCTGTGAATTTCTCTTTATGTTAAGGGAACAAGGAGCTTGGACTTTCGAGTTCCTCTTAAAGCTAGGAAAGGTCTGAGTCGTGGTGGTAGTACCTCCACACCTAGTTACTAGGTTGTAGTTTCCAATCATACTGTACCATGCAATGATACTTTCAAAAAAACTAACTCGGTAATCTATTTGAAAAAACGAGTAGGGCCTGTCTTTCCTGCTAAATTACCGGGAAAAAAAAAGAAAAATATTTGCTCTTTAAACAACAATCAAAGTATCATGATGATAATGAAACCAAATTAACAACAAGCTGAAGCCAACGATGCTGGCAAAGGTAGCAGCCATGTCAGCGCCAGCCAGAGAAAGCTGGCCAAGATGGCCAACACACATATCTGAGATCAGTTGTAGGCAGAATTGCAAGACGTTGCCGACTATGAGGGGACCGGCTAATGTCAACTGCATCCACACCTCTGTAAACACTTCTCTCTTTATCCATCTCAACGCCCAACCCTCCTACAAAAGTAGATTTATCAAATTCAATTTCACATCCATCTCTAGGTGAATTTCAAGTAGGATGAATAAAGAGCAAAGCACCCATTAGTATTATCAGGAAAAAGTTTATATAGAGCCGAGGCTCTAAACAATCAAATTAGAGTCCACCTCAAAAATTTCACTAGAAGAGGTTGTTTTGATACCTAAATATCTTCAAATTGACCATCTCGATATTAAGATGGACGAACATGAGAGAAAAAAATGGATTTCAAGTTTTGTAAATAGTGCATTTTGTAATGTATGTTTGGACTGTCAATTTTCAAGATTTTCAAGTTTTCATAGATCTACTCGATTTACACTATTTTGTAATTTTTAAATTTATAATTAAAGATAAAAATATATTTTAAGGCTATCACAAATATTTTCGGTATTGAAACCACATTTCTCGACACTATTTGAAGGTGGGCTCCAGTTTGATTGTTTAGAGCATTAGCTTTATACAAACCGCATCCTTAGTATTATGAGACTATTTATTTTTGGTACAAGGAGGTTACAATTGTTACTAGCCATTAGATGTCAAATTGGATGGTATGAGTGTGTCATAAACTTCGAGAAATTCTTTTTTGAACTTAAAGTATAGTCAATGATGCACTCACAACCATCCGATTTGAAATCAGATGGACAAAGTGATTGTGACATTCTTGTATTAAAAATCGGATGGAAAAAAGCGATTGTAACATTCTTGTATTAAAAATCGAATGGACAAAAGTGATTGTGACATTCTTATATTAAAAATCGAATGGACAAAAATGATTGTAACATTCTTGTATTAAAAATCGAATGGACAAAAGTGATTGTGATATTCTTGTATTAAAAATCGGATGGACAAAAATGATTGTGATATTAAAAACAAATGGTCTCTTTGTTTCCCATTATAAAATAAATTCTAAGATCGCAGGCATGGGATCAGAGCATTTATGTGTCTCAAAATAGCATCCTAGGCTCCATTCTCACCATTAACACTTTTAAAAAAGGAGAGAAACTCTAAGATGATAAAACCAAACTCTAAAATAAAAAACTATGCAGTACCTTTTTAAAGTGGCGGGTTACATGTGGATTGCTTGAAACAAGTGTTTAGGAAAAAGCTTAACCGGATCGGGGATCAGCAGGATAATGGTACTGAGACTCCTCTGAATTGGAGATGCTTCTAGTTTTGTAAACCGGAACGTTAGGTTTTTTTTTTTTTTAATTATCAGGAAGAATCAATTCACTCCGCACCGGATCACCAATCCTACCAAGTGACTAGTTCGGCCAGCCGATCCACTGCATGCATAAAACATGTTGGGCAAACAAACCTCTAGTGTAAATAGCCAAGCGCCCTCTTGTTTGAATGTTAGCAATCACCCTCTTATTTATCTAAATGCGTGACAAGGCAAAGGCTGTGAAACACAAATACTGATCCAAAAACCAAAAGAGTGATCCAAAAGATTGCATTTAACGCAGTGTAACCTTACTAAAGGTTTATTCATCTTGCAGCATTTAGAGATTACTCTAAGGCCATGTTTGTTTTCTGGGAGATGCAGTTTTGGAGACCATGTCTTTTGGGGATGTATATATTATCATGGAACTTGTGATATCTATTTTTTTACTATAGAGATTACTCTAAAGCCATGTTTGTTTTCTGGAAGATGTAGTTTTGGAAACCACGTTTTTTGGGGATGTACATATAACCATGGAACTTGTGATATCTACTTTTTGACGTTAAAATTGGAAACAACGTCTTTTAGGGATGTACATACTACCATGGAACTTGTGATATCTACTTTTTAACGTTAAAATGAATGTAAGTGGATATTGTGATGTCCAATTTTAGCGTAGCAGTTCCCGTTATCAAACAGGGAAGTGCTACACTACTAGGTGACATGATTTCTGAAACTACATCTTCCAAAAATCAAACAGCCCTTAAGCATGACAAAAAATTATTTAGCATAGCATTTCCCATTATCAAACAGGGAAGTGCTACAATACTGGAAGATATGATTTCCGAAACTACATCATCCAGAAATCAAACAGCCCTTAAGCATGACAAAAATTCCACATGATCAAAGTAGCAACACCTTTCAATGTCAAACTCCTTTTTACGAGGTATGTTTAATAAGCCCGAGTAACCCGAGTCTTCATTGACTGATTGAGTTATTGGCGATCCATGGAACCATCTCCATATACTTGTGATGAGGTTTTTTTTGGTGTCACTAGTATTATGGAAATTACTTTTAGGAGTTTACTATCTAGCCATTCAATTTTGATCAAGTGAGCCACTCACCATTTGATCTTAGATCCGAGGCTTCAAAGTATTTTATTTTTAATTTTTTCAATACAAATTGTATGACTATAAAATTCGATACATGCCATCTTCTCATTGGGGCGCACCTATAAAAAATATTAAAAATAATTTTTTGATCAAATATAACAACCAAGATATCTCTTGAAAATTTTAGAGATATTTTGGTTATTGTATTTTATTGAAAATATTTTTTTTAATATATTTTAAAAGTGTGTGTTTAATAAAGGATTGGACACCCAAAATTTGATATAAAAATAATTTATATAAAAAATATTAAAAATAAAACATTGTAGAGACGTGACATTGTGCTTAGGACAATCTTGGACAATCTTAGGCCTCCATTCAGAAGCATAGAAAGCTTGCCCTTAATAATATGCTATCAACTCTTGAACCATCCGACATGACTGATGGTTGAGGAGCATCACTCCGCCACTCAATGTCTAAAAGAGTTTAATTTTTGAGTTGTTGATGAAGGATGACACATCCGATATGAGCTCTATCGAAACAAATTTTTGGAAACACAAAAAATAAAATAAAAAAATGTATTAGCTCTATATTGTGTTTCAGTTAAAAACAACAAAACAAAGAAAAAATTAAAAAAAGGGCAATAAAAATAAAAAACTTGGAAAGGAAAAGGTGGAAAAAATGGGCTGAAAAAATACCAAAAATTGAAATTCAAGATTTTCGGCTTTGATTCAAAAAAAAAATCATTAGATCTTTTATACATCGATATGCTAAGAATATTTTTGGGACAGATTGGAATGAATTTGGTAAAAAAAGAAAACAAGAGAGAAATCAAAGATTTCTTATTTTGGGTTCAAATTTGAAACGTTGATTTCTCTCATTTTAACTCGCCAAATTTGACTGCCTTTCTAGATTAAATCAGACAATCTTCCCAAAGATGACAAACTTCCAGTCAAATCTGTTCCTTAAATCTCTAAAAGATGCCTACAAAATAAGGGTAGTCAATTCTATGATGTAATAATAGCCTTCAGATCTTTCTTATCACCTGAGAAAACTATTAAACTTCCCAAAATCCATCCATCTTAGAGATGGATTTTGCAAGTCAATCGTCTAAATCACTACAGTCATGAATCTAAAAAAATAAATAATCGAACTTTGTGGCTTAAAACAAGTCCATTGCACTTATTTCTAGACCATTCATTGTAATTCTTCAAATATCTTCAAATTTGCACTATTGTTTTGAACTCCAAATTTAGGATCTGAAGGCAGAAATGAATTTACAATGATTTAGGATATGTTTTGGGTCCCGAAAACCATGGAAGCCACGGTAGACGCATGAGTAAGCCAACTCACCAACTATGTATAAATAAGAAATGTATACAATGAGAGCATTAATTTTTAATACAAGAAAAACACAATTATTATTGACTGTTAGATTTGAAATTGGATAGCTTGTAGTTTATGATGTATCATTCTTTGAACACAAAGTTCAAAATAAAATTTTTTAAACATGTGACAATTTTATGTATTGGATTTCACATCCAATAGCTAAAAGTGATTGTGACTCATAATATACAATCATATACAAATAGGAGTTTTTACTTTTGGGAAAGTCTTGGGTGAGTAAGCAGCCACAAGATATGGTAACTCACAAATGTCCATCATAAAAATGGACGTCGCATAAAGTGTACCCTCCATAGATTCTATATAGAAGGCGCACCAAAAGATACCAATTTTTAAATTTTCTCAATCACTGAATACATGTTTCATGTCTGCCTCGGAGAGAATGAAGAGAAGTAAAATTGTTTGCCACCAATTTGCATGACAAGGACAAAGGGATATTAAGATATGATTAAAATACAATTTGATAATTGAGAAAATTAGCAGTTATTAATAGAAAATCATTGGATTGGATTATCCAATAGCTAACTTGTTCATGCAGCCTTTACACTTTTTTTTCTTGTAAATTGTGTATGAAAAAAATAATATAAATAGGCTATTTACTTTTAATACAAGGTGATCATAATCTCTCTTATCCATTAGATTTTAAATCAGATGGTTGTAACTTGTGAGTGTATCGACTCAAAGTTCAAAAAAAGATATTTCAAACTTTGTGATACACCTCAAGTCATTGTATTTGACAACTAATATCTAGTAGCAATTATGAGCTCCTTGTAACAAAGATAATTGGTGTTTTAGTATACAATCCCACTTGTTATCGTTAACCCCTCAATAAGTATTTTGAGTATCACATGACTATAAGGAATCCTTATTAAAACAATGGGAAGGACAAAAGTCACCCCTAAAAAACTACGGGTCGCCACAAAATATGGCCCAAAAGCTAGGCCCTGGGGTGTGGGGCACAAGATATGGCCTAAAGGCCAAGCCCGGACCGGACACCCTGCGGCCAAGCAGCCCATGGATTCGAGGCATTGCCTGACCTTGTGTTTTTCCTTGTCCGGGCCAGGCCAGGCCAGGCCACACACACACGTATATAAACTAAGGCCCCTTCAACCCTGGTCCGGTCAGGGCAGGTTAGCCCTGGGCCTAGGTTGGCCCGTCACTTTGTCAGCCCTAATTCCTCCGGTGATAAAAATCATCAACAATACATATAACAATAGTGATTTTGTAGATAGTGGGAAAAGAACTCGTTATATTGGAGCTTTCACCATCACGATCACGATCACCAAGGCAAA